AGCCTCCTAAATTTCCAACAAAACTCTCAAATTTCCGACATACCCCCCATTTGCACTCGAAAAGACTGTTTTTAGCCCTCTTTTAGGTCAAAATTTCCGAAAATTCGTCAATTTTCCGTGAAGGTGGGGGGGAGGGGGGGCGCCCCACCACGATTTCTGCCACTGAGTGCTACTACGAAAAAGAATTGAAAAAATGCAAAGAAATCTCATTACTTCTTCGCCTTCTTTTGACTGCTTCTTTTCAGAATGACTCTTTTTCTTTTCTTCTAAAAAAACGGGCAAAAAGGTAAGGTTTTTTAAAAGAAGAATGAAAGACTATTTCTTAAAAGTGGCCCCACTAACCCTCAACACCACTGGAACTGTTCTCGTCAACTGTCGCTAAAGAAAAACAAAAAAAGACTTGTTGTATATTGGTATCAAACGACATGCTCCTGCAGTATAAACTTGAACGATCGTCTGTGCCAGTGTAGGTACTAGGTAGTGGCAATAAATTAATAAGAAAGTTTCGGAATCCGAAGTTTTTTAGCACAAACTATATGTTACCTTGTGTATTAGACGAACTTTTCGATGTCAACTGACTGGCTTCAAACATATCTAAATCATTTGTATTAAGAGTGCTTATATTTTTATCATCTCTTTTCCTGCAACCAAAATAAATATTTTGAAATAAGAAACAATGTATTATAGATACGTTATATATGAAAAATGTGAACATTCTTATACAAACTTTAATGTTCATTAAAGTTTGAAAAATCCAATTTCACTTACCTTGATTTTACACTGACTTCCTGAAACGAGAAAAAATTACCAACTAAACTACTATTTATTTATATCAGTTTTAATTAAACTGTGCTTTCTAGACGTCCAGTAAGGATCATTTCTTATTGATCCAGTGTTACTGCAGGAGGAAACCTAAACTAAACTAACTTTATTTATACTGGATAGCTCTATCAGTTCTACACTGTTCTCCTAGAGGTCTAGTAAGGATCATCTCTTATTGATCCAGTGTTACTACAGGAGGAAACCTAAACTAAACTAAACTAACTTTATTTATACTAACACGTGCACTATAACGACTGTGTCAGCAGCATGCAACCTTACCCTAGGATCTTACTCTAGGACCTTACCCTAGGATCTGTACTTGGTGAGTCCAGCCAGGCGTCCATGAAGTTGTTGTCCTCGTCATTTAAAACAACATCATATTTAGTTTTCAGCACCTAACAAATAATTTCGTTAATAAAAATAATCTATCAATGAAGATCTATCTCTATCTGTCCTAATTGATCTCCCTAAAGATCCAGTATAAAAGACAATTTCTTATTGATGTAATCGCAGAAGAAAACTGGCCTTCCTGGAGAGGACCTGTGATGTTTGGGAAACACTTTTCTCACATACAACTGAGATAAATTATAATCAGACTGCATATTAGAGAGGATTGACGTTTACTGCACAGCGCTAACGGCAAACAAGTTTTCGAGAGCTACAGTAGTTAATTCATGCTTCAGTTTTAATGCACAAATTGTCCTAACTTCGAACAGTCCCAACAGTTGACCTCAAAATAGGACTTGAAGGTTGAACGTCAATCTTAACCTTGCAGGATTCTTGCAGGAATCAAAGCTCGGTCACAAAGTTGAAACAAACACACATGCACCACTGTGACATCAACCGTTCAAGTTAAGATTCATTAATCATGTACTATACATACCACAGGCTTCGCTGGTTCAGTTATCTTCTCTGAATCATTACTATCATCATCACTGTGAAGCATAGGAGAGACTACATCCCCTACACCAGTCTCCTCCTCTGATTCATCTGATGTCAGATCAATATCAACATCAAAACTTGTGTTCTGTGGAGCTTCACTTGCTTTTTGTGTCGTCGTGATTTCAACATTGTCTTCGAGTTCGTCTTCGGAGCTAATATCTTGAAAACCTGACACCATTGGATTGCCGCCTTTCTCGCTGCAAAGAATGGAAGCATTTCAGTTAATACATGGCTTTCAGTCAATTGATGGTTTTCACTAAACTCTGTCGTGTAGTAGAAGTGAAATCATACGACACGAAATAGTCTTTCTGACGAAGGCCAAAATCCGCCATTTTTGAGGTACTGTCTGCCCTCGTGAAAGATTCTAGACAATTCAAACAACGTGAAAAACGACTTTTAAAAGTTGTAACTATAAATTTACCATTATACAAACAACTATAATGCTAAAAAGTTGTATTTCGTGCTGCGGAGACTCTCGAACGTGAGAGGCAGTACCCAAAAATGGCGGGAAAATCGGTCGTGAGAAAGACTAATTGAAACGCTCATCACAAAGATGAGACACATACAGTCACCGTTGTACCAGACAGAAAGTCATTTACTTACCTATCGCTGTCATCACTAGTGTCAGACCTGGCACAGACAGACAGACAGACACTTACCTATCGCTGTCATCACTAGTGTCAGATCTGCCAGCAGTCGTCTTCTTAACTTCTCCTTTGTCCGTCTCATCCAAAAATGTTGAATCAATTGTCTCCTCTGGCACAAAATCATCAATACTCTTGGGTTGATTCGCCGTTTTCTTTGAGGAACCTGAGGAAGGTTTAATATTAAAGCACTTTGTATACAAC